ATCATCCACTGAGAACCCTGTGAGCACAGTTCTACTGTGACACACATGGGACACCATGAGTGGAATCTACTTATGAAACATCATCCACTGAGAACCCTGTGGAGCACAGTTCTCCTTTGACACATGGGAGCGTCATGAGTGGTACTTAAAGCAGTCACTGAAACCCCTGTGGAGATCAGTTTTTCTCACACATAGGATCACCGTGATTCGGCATTAGCTGGATTTTTTTACACAAGCTCTGACATTCCACCAAGACAGAACCAAGAGCACTAGTCATGCAAAGCCTAGAAACAGGTTCCTAGATACTGCCAGTGTTGGGGCAAGGCCCCAGTGTCGGTCAAACATTAGAAACTCAGCATGATCCACCACCACAGCGACAACAGAGGGAGATGCTGCACGATCATCTTGATGGAAACACAGATGTCTGATACAATCCTAAAAACATTCTTAGAAAATGGTCCACAAACTCACAACAGCCGGAACTTCTCAATAACGACAACAAGTATTTCCTTTCAAAACACCTGCTAGTCATCTGTTACGTAAAGGTGAGAGACTAAGGCTGACCTCTGAGGCTGGGACAGCCAAGGCTGACCACACCTGCTCCGGTCAGCACCAGGCCCAGCCTCCAGCAGTCCAAGAGGAGATAGGGAGCCTACATGGGGGATGCCGAGCGTTGCATGCTGCACTGAGTCCCCCACTATGGTCTGTCTAGCCATGGTCATGTGATTCCCACAAACTGATTAGGCAGAACTATGCAAATAAGGTGTTTGCAGTCCACCAAGGGGACTGGATGGACAGCTTTCTTATCTTGCACATAAAGTGCATAGACCGCTTTCAGGGATGTCATTAGGTGCAGCTGACTTGGTTCTGATTCACAGCAACCCCAGAGCCAACAGAATGAAACCCTGCCCAGTCCAGTAGCAACCTCAAGGTTGGGACTATCTTTGAGACCACTGTTGTAGCCACTACGTCGATCTGTCTCTTAAAGGTGGTCTTCTTTGTTGACCCTCTATCAACCATGATGTTCTTCTCCAAGGACAGTCGCCATCCTGGCTTCTAAGAAGTATTCTGGCTGTCATTCTTTCCAAGACAGATGGATTTCATCTTCTGACAGTCCATGGCATTTTCAGTGGTCTTCTCCAACACCTTAATTCAAATACACCAATTCTACTTCAGCCTTTCTTCCTTACTGTCCAGACTTCGCATGCGTATGAAGCAACAGAAAATCCATGGTTTGGGCCAATGGTTGGGGGGATGGGACCACGCAAATAAGGTATTTGTCGTTTCTTTGGGCCATCAAGTCGGTTCTGACTCATAGTGACCCTGTACAGTTTCCCAGGATGTAAATCTTTATGGGAGCAGAGTCTCATCTTTCTCCTCTGACTGGCTTGTGAGTTTGAACTGCTGACTTTGTGGTTCACAGTACAGAACTTATTGTACAGAGCCATTGTGCTCCCCAAATAAGGTATGTTCTTGTTGTTGAGTGCCATCGAATCAGTTCTGATCCACAGTGACCCTGTATAGGGTTTCTGAAGAATGACTGGTGAGCTTGAACCACTGACTTTGTGGTTCAAACCGACTTTGCAGTCCAGCGCATTAACTCACAGTGCCACACCAGGGCTCCTTATACCAAATTAGGTATGCAGAATCCTAAAACGTGGGCTGGTTGGTTTTGCAATCCCACTAAGCTTAAAATGAGGCAATCCTAGAAGCTTGGAAGGGAAGCTCCCTCTTCTCCAGAAGGGCAGTCAGGAGTGGAGCCCTTGAAGCTGGGTCCCTTGACGCAGGGTCCAGAGAGAGACGATGCGAGACAGCATGGAGCGAGGCAGAGAAACGGCGGCGACAGAACCAGGAGACCCACATGGGGACCCACACATGACCGAAATTCATGCAGGAGTGCAGAGCGCCCCCCAGGACTTGTCTGTGGAACTGACCAGTGAAGGGACTGTAGCTGCAATGGGCAGAGGTCCGAAAGCTGAGGGAGGCCTATCTGAGAGCACAGCTGTGAGGCTGAGCTGACTGTATGGTACTCTCTGGCGTTGCTCCTGTTTCTTCAAGTTGATCCTGATTCTGAATTGTAACCTGTTAGTTCCTTTATTAAACCCACAATCGTGAGTACTTTCTGAGTTTTGTGTGGTCATTACAATGGGTCATCCAAGCCAGCAGACAAGTAGAGTGTCATGGGAAAGAAGACTCGTGTAAGAACCGGTGACAATGCTGGCAGGCAGGGTCCAGGTCCACCTCACATTAATGACCTCAAGACACAAGGTCCATTCTTGAGGTGGCCACCGAACACCTCTGAGGACACCTTTGGGCACAAGTCCATCTCCTAGTGACCAGCCATGAAATCACAAGACCAAGAGCCTCCAAGGGGGGCATGGGATGAATGGAGATGTGCACAAGAACGCACCCAGGCCTGACAGGCCGGGTGATCCCAGGCAGGAGCGATGCTCACTGGTACTGACATTCTCAATGCATCAAGCAAACCTTTTCACTTTGTGGGGCGTTGCAGAGTCAGGGGGCCTGGGCAGTCAGTAAAGTCAGAACGGAGTAGGCATAGTCAAGCCAGTTGCCCTGCTGGTCCTGGGTGGTGGTTTCCCGGCCCTCAACATGCCAATCCCCAGGGGTGAAGGCCCCACCAGTGGATGCCAGCCACACTCTGCTGCTGGAAAGTGTGGTCCCCGAGACCCACAGGGATGTGTAGCCAATCAACTGTGATGACCACAAAGACCCTGAGTGGAATAGCGCCCCCTGCTGCACCACCTGGGGAAACACACCAGAAAGGAGCTGGCCTGTCCAAAGCAGGCCTCAGAGGCGGACTTACAGGGCTCCCTCCCAGGAACCCACCCACGTGAGTCCGGCTCACCACTAACCAGTTCAGGCCCCGATGAGACCCTGTCTTGTCGCCAGGCTGAGGAGCGTGTGCTGCGGCGGTCCCAGGCCCCGTGCCCACCCTCACTCTGTGTGGAGACGCAAGCCTAGGAGGAGAGCAGCAGCCCACCTCTCAGAAGGTCCGACAGCGGTGAGCCACAGTCACTTGGGATGGTGTAGTCCCCCTTCCCGATGTTCTCGAACAGCTTGTAGATGTTGTCTCCTTCGAAAGGGTACAGGCCTGTCGTGATGTTGTAACTGTGCAGAGGACGGGAGCCGTGTCAGCAACAATACGACAGACTCAGGGACAAGTGAGGCCCGGCAGCCAGTCTGGAGCACTTACAGCGTCACGCCCGCTGACCAGATGTCCACCTTGAAGCCGGAGAAGGTGTCCAGGCCATTGGCGATCTCAGGTGGCTGGAAGGCTGGGGAACCTTGGCTGGTCCGGCAAGTGTCATCCTCAGCAAAGGGGTGCAGGGCCTGTGGGGGCCAGGGGTCTCAGTGAGCACCCTGCATGGCCCCCGGCCCCCCGAGCCCCCTGTGCAGACCCAGAGGCCCCACCTCAGCCACGCCCAGGTCGGAGATCTTGAGCGTCCCGCTGGTGGTGAGCAGCAGGTTGCCGGGCTTAATGTCCTTGTGAACGATGCCCTGGCTGTGTAGGTACTCCAGCCCATCGATGAGCTGGCAGAAGTACCTGTGGAGAGACACGTGCTAGCCGCCAGGCCTAGGCCCAAGGCCCAAGCTGGGGATCTCAGGGACCTGGAATGTTAGCTGACCGAACATGAGTGGCTTCTTGGGGCTTCACGCGGTACAGAGAGGAGCTACTGTGGCTGGGGGAGGGGACCCTGGTATTCTCACAAGCAGCAGCTATGTGTCCATTGGTTTGGTCTGTACTGGGTGGCCATGGCCGGGTCACTGACTCACCCGTGGGCCTGACACACAGGGAACCTCTTCTCGGGCACGCTGTCCAGCATCTCCTGCATGCCGCACACACAGTACTCCATCACCATATACGTACGCACGTCAAGGAAACCAGGCAGCCAGCTCTACAGCGGAGGGCAGGAGGAACTGAGGCTCAGCACAAGGCAGGGGAGATGGACCGGGCCCTGAGGGGCGGACACCCAACCCCACATCCTCGGACTAGGCAGAGTGACCCGCCACCCCTAGCTGCTGTGGTTCCTGGGCAGCTCAGACCTTTTCACTGGTACTGGAACTCCCATCGTGCCTTCAAGGTAGACAGGTGCTGCATGAGCAATCCTTGTCCAACAAGGGTCCATCTCCTGTCCTCTCACACTCACACACACACACTCATGCTCACACCTGGGTGGGTATATCTTCTGTGACCTCACTGCACAGCCCCATGCCCAGGTACACACACGCGCACACGCCGGGGAGGATATATCTTCTACTTCTCCTCACTGCACAGCCCCGCCCCCAGGTACACACACGCACAC